CCAAACTCCCTCCATTTTTACAGTCTTCTCAAAGTCTAGATCAAGTTTCATTTGAGTTTGCAGGGTGAAGGCTGTTATTTTTGGCTTTCCCTTTTTTCCTCCCCCCTCCCCAAGACCTCAATGTCTTCATCTGTTATTTTTAAAGCAAAGTTTGAAGTTATGAATATTTAAAAACCTTTGTGGCATCTCCCATATCTATTCAATAAACGTCTAGTAGAAAGATGACTGTAAAAAGAATATTCCATATTTTACTTTAATACTACTCCCAAATTCAAAAGACACATAATGCAAACATACACTATATTTGCACAATATATATTTGCTATTTTAGTATTATACTAGTGTGGTCAACCGTGATATTAGAAATTGGGAGAGTTAACTTTTTTTTTTTTTTTTTTTTAAACAACAACAACAAACACGCTTGTGTTTCTACCTATAAAAAAGACTACCCACACATTATAATACCGATTATCTTACTCTTCTAGTGAAGAACTTATCTCCAGTATACCGAATGCTGCCCATAAGCTCAAGCACATCTTTTAACATTTACAAAACTTAATCAGGGAGTGGCTCAACCCCAGACAAATCAAGTCAATGCCTGGGACAACTCCTCAATCATTCAATCAGGCAACTCTAAATCTGAATGTTAAAAATCTTAGCTGCAGAAGCAGGTAAAGAGAAATCTCATCCTGCCTTACAAGTAGACATTTTTCTTGCTGGTGTTTAAAAGCTTCGAATTGCAAAGCTAATCACAGAAGTATCTCTGAAAATAGTTTTTGGATGAGTCTGAAAAGAGGACAGCAGCAGCAGTTTGAGCAGTCACTAGCTTCTACCTCACCAAGTAAAAGGATGGGGGAGAGCAGATCACACGATGGCAGCAACGCTGCAAAACAGCTCCACGTCACAGGTTATTAGAAAAAAGAGCTTTTGACATGTACAAGAATTTATATTTGTAAGATGCCATGACAGACTCAAAATAACCATCAAGGCCACTGCATCAAGCATTCACAAAGCAGTAAGTGACAGAACAAAGAATGACCATGCAACCTTCACCTGGACCTCAATAAATGTGCATTAAAGCCACAAAATATGTAACTACAATGACCATATGCTGATCCTCTTGCAGAATTCTCATTTCATTCAATGCTAACATAGTTTCTGCTCAGAGAATGACTCAGGATTTGTACTGAATGAGACCTATTTCTAGGACCTGGCCAGCCTGAGAGAACTACTACAATATAAATAATAATAATAAAAGCATGCAACACTTTTGCCAAGCACGGATGTTGGCAAGCAACTTCAAATGCTGGCATTTGGTGGCACCTAGTAATCTGCTGGCTGAATCACTAACGTGATTGATGGCTTTAAATTGTTCAGGAACTTTGGGCCCCACCAGGCGTTTAGACCTGTGAACGGTATCATATTTTTGGTATCAGGGTGTTGGTCTACAGAGCCAGTAAGTGACAGATTTTATACTTACAGCTTTTTAAGTGGTATGGGGCTCTGTTGCATGGAAAACCTAAGAGAAACTGATTCAGCTACCGGTTTATATATTTCAGACATATTTCGGATATTTTGATTTCCATAATTACATTGTGATTGGTACAAACACAACTAAGAAATACGCTCCTCTTGGATCCTTATATCTTTATTAAGATTGAAAGCAATTATTACAGAAAACTGTGTTGCCTTTAGATGCCCCGAGTTTACCATTCATGCCATGTTTTAGTACATTAACAGTCCCTACCTGGATAACACGCTGCCTTTCAATAACAAAGAGACTTCTCTAGAGAGTTATCCTGAGCAGAGGCAGCAAAGTGTCTTCCTTCTTGATATTCCCATTTCTGACAGACTAGTCCATGTGTTTCTACTCTCACAGCAACAAGATTTTCAGCCAGAAACAGCTGTTTCCATGAAGCTCTAGTACAATACTGTAAACATGTCCCATACCCTTCCAGGTGAAATCCGTGGCAATGCCACTCTCCTTACTGCTGCAGTGAGGCGCAATTCTCAAAGAAAATACATCCTAAAGAAAATACATCTCAAGGACTTCTGGTAGATTTCTCTTCTGAAGGAAACAAATTAGTTCCCTTCCTGTTGCCCCAAAAGCACAGGCACCAGTGAACAGTCATTTCACCACCGTAACCATAACAAAATATATTGCAAGCAAATAATATGCGCTGGATACCTACAGGGTGGAAACTGCAGAAGCAATAATGGATGAAAAATGCAAAGGGACATAATACTATTTATTCACATCAAATAATTTCTTTTGCATGATGTCATTTAAAAAGCAAGTCAGATCATTTAAGTTTTACCACAGATCTACTTCTGTTAAAAAAATATTGTTAATCCTCCAGGTCATACTGTAAATTATATCAACTAACAGTAAAGAACAGATTGTGAACAAATGAAAGATTAAGAAAAAAAATAAAAGAGCGAAACCTAATTGTTGCCCCAAGTGTCTCAAGGCACATAAGATTCTCACATGCTGTCAATTAAGTGAACTCTATAGAGCTACGATCTGTGGCAAAATTCCACCATAACAATTATATCAAAACAACAGACGTAATGAAATTATTTCTGCCAACTAAGTCGTCAGTGCAGAACATATTACCCTTTTTAATTCTCTGGGCAGGTCGTCTTTTTTGAAAAAGAGAACGTGCTTCCATGATAGTACCATCTTGATTCAGTGTTGCAGAAAGTAATCTGAATTTCAATGATTAAGTTCTACTGAATTCACACTATGTACTTACAAAATGAATTTGGTATCCTGAACACATGGTGAACTTGCAGAACATCAACAGAATCATCTAGAATTCATATGTCATCCATCTTTCTTTCAAAATAATCCTTATTTAGTATGTTTAATGACATTTTCACCTTTCCTCTAGCTCCTTTTGCTATTGAAAAAAATCATAGAATAATTCAGGCTGTAAGGTCATCAGACCTATCTTCCCTTCTATAAGGGCAGAATCAATGTTTTGCTTAAGAAAAAAACCCCATAATTATAGCAAAAAGCAAACACACAGCATGGTCATGCAATACTTCTTTTCTTTGTCCCTTAACCTAGGTTCATTGCATTTGTTTTAAGCATGCTGTTTTAGGTTAAAAACCTTTTCAGAAGCTAACCTCATGACTGATTTGCTTTTGAAGAAAACATGCACTTTTAGGGTGTAATACAACTTTTAAAATACCTTTAAATAATCTTTTAAATAGTTAACATGAATATACAATACCATTTTTAATAAAAATAACAGTTTTAGTTATGCAGAGTTTTTAAGGAAAAGCTTTTTTTAGGGTTTTGGAAGTCTTCCAAGAAGTTCATTGGGCCTCATACCAAAATATAAGGCGGAACAGGCTATGTCTCAAAGAGCTATAATCTAAATAGATATAGACAGCATAAAGACAGTGAAGAAGAGAAACAGAGGATGTAGCACAGGCATGATGAAAAGGAAGACTCAGTAAGACCCGCTATAAGGAACAGAGCAAAGAACAGTGAACAGTGAACACAGGAGGAAGAGGTACAGCAAGGCTGAAGCAGTGGCTTAGAGAAGACATACTCGTGTCAGAAGCTGGAGGCCAAATGTGGACAGTCAAGAGGTGTCTGTGTTTTGAAACTACCAGCGTTATAAAATGTGTTAAGTAGCATAAAAGAAAATTATTCAGCTGAAAAACCTAAAACTGTTTTTCCCTTACCAACACCCCAAGATAGTCATTTAAAACAGGTCTCCACAGTCTTGGCTTAATCTCTTGGCTTTGGCTTCCACACACATAAAATTGAAGATAATATTTCATTTCAGCCCATGGTGTGCTAAACTCAATACACTTGCAATACATTCCCAAGGATGCCACAATACTAAAAACTCCAAAGAAATAGATAGTTCTGCAACCAGCACAAGCTGCAAACAGTAGTCGACAAACAACCCTCAGTCACTACAGTAAGCGAAAGACATATTGACCAACTGAACACATTCTTCCTGCACACTGAAGTACTGATCCTTTAGAAAACTCAATATTAGTTCCCAACATGAACATTCTTCTACATTTTTCCCTACTAAACTCAACTACAGTAATATATGTGCCCTCTTTATTTAGTAAGAGAAGGACCTACCCAGAGGCCCTCTCATTCACTGCCCACTACAATCCCTAGCGCACGTTCAAGGTTTTTATTCCGCTGTCGGAATTTCCAAGCTGTTTAGCAAGACTGAATTTAAAACTTTAATGTTACACCCAATAAATACAATGACACTACCTAAAATATCAAGCATGGTTTTTATATTAACAGGAAACATTGTACAGTGCATGCAAACTCAAGCTATTCGAGGCCACTGGAATGCTTCAGTGTCTTGTTTAAGTAGCAGAGGCACAAGACTTCTAGCAGTCATTCTAATACCAAGATTTCTCCATGGCTCTTGACCTCAGAAACAGAGTAACTAGTGACCTCTAGTGTTTAGAAGTTCAGTCTCAAATTGATCAATTTCGGCAAAAAGCAGAAAAGTCTTACACGTTGGACACCAACTTTCTGCACTTTGCTTTTTGTTACATAGCAAGGGGTCACTACTGTTACCTAATACTGAGGTCCTTTCCACTCTAACTTATAAATGATCGTATCCATTTCTAAAGAACCAATTGTAACAGAATCATGAACTCCTAACACCTCAATAAATTGCAAGCTCACACTTCTGCTTTCAAACGCTTAATAAACGTTTTCTCATTTGGAAGATCATCAGCAGGATACTTAGCGCAGAGAGAGACATGGATTTAAGTGGGCACTAATTCCTTAATGATTGATCAAGAGGCTATCAGTGTCACAATCCAAGCCAGTCAGCAGAACCTAGCAAGCAAGAAGCTGCAATATTGCCCCAGATCTTGGTTGGTCCAGGTAGAAGTACATGGCCCAGGAAGCCACTCCAAAGACACCAGCCAAATGACCCAAGTTGTTTGCAGTAAAAATCTGTGAATACAGAAACAAAGAAAAGTCCTACTGTTTTACTTACAATTTTGAGTCCAGGTTCAGGAGAAAGCCCAGTTTGTCATATTCTGGAAAACAAAAGCAAGGGACATAATATCACAAAAACTGCAAGTGTCTCCTCTGCAAAAGGCACCAAAAGCAAAAAGCAGAACACACTTATAAAAGGGCAAAAAATACATATTTTTTTTTTACTAAAAATAGCTATATCATCAATTTCAATTGAGAGCAGCTGCTACCATAGGTTGTTAAAGGTATTACCAAATACACATTTCTGAACGTCCAGAAAATATTAAAGCAAGAGGATGTGTGGGCCATTTGGAAATCGCTAGAACTAAGATATCTGTAAATAAGGCAGCTACTGAAATATTACATGCAACTGCATATGAAGTTTTTCTGCTTGCAGTCAAAATCATTTTGCCAATAATCTGTACAAGCAAGACTCCTGCTAGCTCCTGCAATGGCGGGGCTTTTAAACTCTTGACTCTTAGTCTACTCCAGCTCACTATTTTGTGGTGAAGCAGAGGGTTGTTTATGGTGGCATTCGAAAGGAAACTGTAAAGTCTGAGTTTGTGCGACTTAGAGTCAGACGGAAGAATTACAGATATTCCCAGTGAAAAGTTTGTTTCAGTAACTCCTGTGTAGAAGTATCTGTGAATACACCGTAATCTCATAAATCAAATACTCCACACAAAAAAATAAAGCTCTGAGAATTCACATAAGATGCACAGCAAAAACTAAAACCACTCCTTTCTCTTGCTTGTCCACCACAACACAGGGGCTTCTTCTGCATGTTGACCAGGCTCTTCTGCCGCACTGCCATGACAAGGCACTGTGGTCACCATTGTGTCCCACATAGGAAGGTATTCATTCAGGGCAAACATATGCTGGAACTTTTACTAATCCCTTCCCAAAACATCCATCCTGAACAAAGAGCAATAAAAAAAAAAAAAAAAAAATAAAAACTACAGTCATAGAACAATATGTCATCATCCTAATTCCATTCCAAATAACATATCCCACTTCCCAAGACTCCATATAAGAAGAAACGCAATACAAGGAACATCACCTCATAACTAGAGAGCAACATCCTGGGCTTTCTACCCATCAGCATTTTATTGCAACCAAAGCACCAGAAAACATGCACTAAACAATCATGACTCCATCACTATGACAGGCACCTTGCATGTCATATGCAGAGGAGCTGCTGGTGAAATGTATACAAACTCCTGCAGCAAAGAAATGTCACCCTCACGGCTGGACACCTCACGCTTCCAGGGACTTGCGGCAACAACTGCGTTGCTGTTGCCTCATCTCAGGGGACGCAGGAAGCTGCACAGCCCAGCTCACAGAGTGGCAGAGTAGCATGTACAGAAGCAGCACACTGAATGAATATGGGAAATTAATTCCATCATGCTCTTTAAGAACAAGGGGTCTCTGCAGGTCAAAAACATGATGTATTTCTACATTTCAGGGAAGATCAGAATTGAGTAAGAACCTAATAACTGACAATAATTTCATAATAAAGCATGTAATGAGGATTATACAAACAGAAGTACAGCCAAGCATAGCAATTTCTATAAATGATGCAGAGTCTGTGCCAAATTCAATGTTGGCATAAACATGAAAATTTCTTCCAAGTATCCAAAAGAAATCCAGCCACCAGGCAGCAAATGAGAAATACGTGGTCTAGCATCTATAGACTCCATAGAGACCACCCAGACAACCACAAAACACAGTGTACAGTATTAATCACAAATTTTAAAATTCTATTTTATATCTTAAGCCATATAGTTACACATAAACAAAATGGGGAAAAAATCTCTCTCCTTATTTTACTAATCTGAAATCAACAACTCAGGAATTAAGTCAGCTCACTAGTTTTAGCCTTCCAAACACGAGCTTTGTTTTAAGTACACTACTCACAGGTGATTTCACCAATGATTCAAGTACTATTTCATCAAGATCTAGCTACATAGAAACACAATACCAATAATTTTGCTCATAAAACCTGAAAACATATTGAAGCTTTTTTGGGCAGTATGCTACAGCTCTATTTCTTTCTGTATTTCATTGGTAATCGCAAGACAGGCAGTACAGGAGGGAAGGCAGAGGTTAGTTCTAGCTACTTTGGCCCGGAGAAATCATTATGACACTCGGGAGACAGAAGTCCTACCAGGAATAGTTCAGACCACCCCGATATATTTAATCCTGTCCAGGGCAGCTCAGTCTCTGGAGTTGAGGCCTCTGAGTGGGGCTGGGGTCGGTCTTCATATGCAAGGTCCCTGTCTGTGGCAAAGGCCAGGTAAAATGACTTATCCTGCAATGAAACAGGGTCAAACACCTCACATATGCCTCAGACTAGGAAAACACACATGGACTGCTATGAAAAGTTCAGCCAATTTAAAGCAACTCTGTCAGAACTCAAGAGATGAGAAAGATTTAGTGAAAGAGTCATATGCAATGGATCAACTGTAAAGGACAAAAGAAAGTTTTCTTCCACATTTAAGCAAATACTGCTCAGGACTACAAAGCAACAGTGAAAGTACTAGACAAACAAGGATTTATGCTGCATCCCTTCCTTCAGATTTTCACTTTAACCTATTTGGTGAAGGAATGGAATTATGAAAGCGTATTTTCTACAGTTATTTAAAATAATCGCCAAAAGAATCCTAACTTTGTAAGGCCAAGATCAGAAGGGGCAGAATTGATATCACTTGGGCTCCTCAGCCGTATCCCAGCCTCCCTGCTTAGACTGCCCATTCCCTGCCCTGAGTGTTCCAGTGTCCTCCTCGCTCCCACTTCCCCGCTTTGGCACACACTGTAACAGCTGTTTCCTCCACCTGATGCCAGAGAATCCCGAGTGTTAGTCCTGGACCTAGAGCCCAGGCTCCAGGCCTCTCCCTGCCCCAAAAATACATGGAGGAAGTGGACACAATAGCTGCAGTGAAAACTCTGCCTGGCCCTAGCAGCTCAGCCCTAGGACACGTCTAGCCATCCAACCCATTGTAGAGCTATCTGCACATTTTACATATCAATGATATGTGTAAAAAATGAGACTTTTCAAAGTCTCAAAACAGTCAAGCTTATATTTCTCATTTCCCCAAGAACTTCCTTGATGCTATTCCTTCTTCCACCTAGAGATGCAGTATGAAAGTATGAATTATAAAGAACATTTACCATTGATCAGTGTCTGTAAGTACCTCAAGGGAGGAAGTGAGGAGGATGGTGCTGGCCTCTTTTCAATGGTGGCCACTAATAGAACTAGAAGAAACAGCCAGAAAAGCATCCAAAGTTCCACAGGAACTTAAGGAAAAATTTCTTAACAGTGAGGGCGACAGAGCCCTGGAACAGGCTGCCCAGGGAGGTTGTGGAGTCTCCTTCTCTGGAGATCTTCAAAGCCCACTTGGACACAGTCCTGTGCCACGTGCTCTAGGTGACCCTGCGTGTGCAGGGGGGTTGGACTAGATGATCTCTAGAGGTCCCTTCCAACCTTAAGCATTCTATGATTCTATGATTTTAGAACAGCTACAATGCTTTTAAGATGTTAACAAAACAATTTATATTTTTCTCCCTCAGAAAAAAACACCTTTCAAATTTTAAGACAACATTAGAAATATGAAACAGGCTCACTACAGTACAGAACATTTCAGCCTGAACAATTAAAATTTGACAATAAACTAAACAGATAAAAAAAGAAAAAAAAAGAAAAAGAAGAGGAGAAAAGAAACTTTAGTGGAAACTGTAGAGCACTTCAACATAGGCAGCAAAAATTTCACATCTATTAAGGCTGAAATTCAAATCTGTGGGTTAATAGCAGGGGGAGCTTGTCCAGTCACAAACCTATGCATGCTCTGGTGACACTCAAAATCATGAGGATTCCACTGACTGCTTCAGATTTAGCAGCAAAAGGAAATAATTTCCCAGCTCCATACCTTCAATTTTCTTTACCCTGTAATTCTTGATTAGGGCCCCCAAAGACATCTGGCCTGGCTTTACAGCCTGAAGAAAGCAATACACCAGAGAGGTCTCCTTCATTAGACACTGCAACTACATTATTCATTCCCCAGGCACAGGAAGAACAAATAAGCAATCATTTGCTGATAGTGCTGTACGGGGTCATCCATCAGGAAGGTCTCCTGCTTGCTTGTCTTACCTCCAAAATAGGTAAAATAAAACAAAAAGAGGTCATTCTGGTGTATTACATTTTGAAAGTCTCTGGTTACCTTGTACAGTCTGGTTACACAGACCATACAAATCTTGAAATATTTTTCAAAATAAAACTATAGCAACCTCCATGGATGGAAAAGGAACCAACTGCTTTAAGCCAGATTTATGAAAGACTCAAACGGGAAGGTGAAAAATTTCCTCCTATGAACCGAGTATGTCCCCCCCCCTTTTTTTTCTTTTTTTTCTTTTTCCTCCTAAGGAGTGTTCTGTTTAAAGCCAGTCTGCAATTTTGCTAAATAAACAGTTATTTCGTTTACTGCCATGTGTTCACTTGGCTAATGGAGCCAATACTGACCTACTGAATCTTCCAAGAGAATCTTATTTTAGAAAGTATCCTGTTTCCTAATAAAAGTCAAGAACAATATTAACAAAACAGTAATCTACATTGACTTTTAGTGACCTACAGGATGCACTGACTTGATGTGGAGAGATGCCACATAACACAGAAAAATCCCATTAAAATACTTTTCCTTCAAAGTATTCCTTAGTCCTCCTCTTAGCATGTGCACATGGACTCCTCCTCAGCTGTATTTTCAATTGGAAGTCTTGGGCACGGATGAGAGGAAGACGGATGATGATACTGAATACACTGGCAAAGTCAAGTAAGGACTATGCAATCAATACATGACCATAACTGGCAAAGATTCAAGCAGTTCCCACAGTCTGCAAGTCAAAAAAAAATGGAGCAGAACTTCATTAATCAAAGATGAAAAACGAGAAATTTTTTTGCAGAATGAAATCACTAGAATGAGCAGGAAAAGCATGAGATTTCACATGTATTCTCTACTTGAAAGGAATAAGGTGGGGGGAGCGGAGGAAGAAATGCATCAAAGCACCCATTCCATCCCTACTATATACTGTTAAGACAGCAAGAAACCTTCTAAAACCTTTTCCCAAAGAAAAAGCTCAAAACTTTAGCATGAGGGATCACAGCCAACACCACACTCTTAAATAAGAGCAAGTTTAAAATCTCAGCTGATTAACAGATAATCATTCCATGTTCAGCATCTAAGTTTCAGCAAGAAAGTGAGCCTCATTTCCACATGGACTTTCACTAGCCCATGATCTTCAGTATATACGCTGCCCTAAATTAGATTCTTTAAAATCCATTTTCTTTGCATAAGTCACACTAATTAGAAAATTAGAAAAAATAAATAAACAAACAACAAGCAAATTAAAATGCTCAAACAATTTGAGCAAAATTTTTTGCATGGAAAGAGAATCATTGAGTCTTCAGGCTGCATTGACAGTGAGAAAGCAGTGCTATTCTGCTATATATCTAAAATCCCAGTACTTACACGAAGCATATTAGCAGATTAGAAAGTTTTACCTTTGGGGCATTTTTATCCTAATGAGGCCTAGAAGAAAGAAAACAAAAACAAAACAAAACAAAAAAAAACACAAAAATAATGGAAACAAAGCCTCTCAGACAAAGGAGATAGGAAAAAAGTCTTCAACAAAAATAGCAAGGTTATAAATTTGACTGTCAAGGTCCAGTGTTTGATTTGCCAGCAAGAAAGTGAAGTAATTATAGAGGAAAGAAGAAAAAAAAAGAAACGAGTACGAGCTGTCTATGGCAAACTAATGAAATCTAGTCTACTCAAACACCCTGTGTGTCCTGCTTAATGTCTTCAAAGTTCAGAGCATGACACCATCCTTTCTGAACTAGTTTCAGCTGAAACACTAACACAGACAGCACATCAAACATTTTCGCTGCTCAAATTTTATCTTCTTTCCAAGGAAGGGACAGTTGAGAAACGGATCACGAAAATGTGGTCTCATGAAGTCTAGACCACAGCGTGAAATTCAGACAATTCAGTCTCACTGCAAGCATATTTATTTGCCTTGTTCGTAAGCGTCTGTGAACCAGCAGTTTAAGCTCAATAGCTAGACGGTTTTCCAGACACGTAGTTTAAGAAGTTTTACCCAGAGTCAGCTAAAAAGTGTGATCAGTCTGAGATGCATCAGGACAGATTTCAAGCATCTCTGATAATTGAGAATTGTACGTGGGAGAAAGAGGGAAGGTGACAACTGCAATGGAGACCCACAGTCAATTCAGCGAAAATACAGATACAGATATTGTTCAGTATGCAGATAAAAGACAGTGTGTGCTAGTTTAAAACAGCATGAAATCTTAGCACGGACACCATGATTCATAGCTGTTTAATTCTAATACAAAGGTTTGTGATTTTTATGTTTTAAAGGATGTTGTTTTCGCCCCTTCTTACCCCGACCTGAAACATCACCTACTAGGAATGGCCGGGCCTGGAGCTGCCATTGTTTCTTTGAGTTCTTTCTGGGCTCTCTCTTTTCCTGGGTCTGCAGCAAGGTGAGGTGGGACGGACAGCGGAACCACAAGAGCCACAGTTTTTCTCTCTCTCCTTCCTGTTCAACAAGGAAAGCTATCCCTCAGTTGGATAGATACCACACATCTTCACATCTTATTATACATATTAGTTTAGAGCAAGCTTAAGTTTCTAACAAAATTAATAGAGAGTACTAAATATTAAGGCAATAAATACACAGCTCTCTCAGACATTTTAACCTCCCTTCTCTGAGTTTTCTTCACAACTCTTTAGTGAAGAATTCAATCTTGTTGCAGTGAAATGATATAATAGAGGTTAAATTTTACTGTCTTATTCGTAACAAATCCAAGCTTGAGTTGCAATGTACAAGCAAAGCAGGGCAAAGACCAATGTTTATAAAACAGACCCAGACAGTCTGCTTACATTACCTTTGTCTCCCACCTTCCATATTAACAGTACTCCAAAAGACACTTTCAGTTCAACTTATTATAAAATAAATAATTTTACCATCCTATTAGTAGCATCATAACACAGCATTTAGGACCAATTCCATAGAAACACTAGCCTTAGCTATTGCTAGGGCCGATTTTGTTTTTGAATTAACTTGAAGCCAAACAAACATTAGGAAAAAAATGTAGTGGGTAATATTTAAAAGTTTCACTCTAGATTAGATTCTGGTCTTTGCTGTACCAACCACTGCTGAATCCAGCAGTGAGGATAAGCTGATTCAGGCTTACTCACCTTCAATCAGAATAAAATATTCCCCTGAATTTTATTTACAGATTTTGTATTTCAGACCTACGCAACTCCCCTGATACTTCTGAAGACTAAAGAAACCCCTACACAGTAGGGAAGGGGGCAAATGACAACCCACTTCACATAGGGCTGACACCCATTCTTAGGAAGGGAGTTAACAGAGGTTCTCTTCTCCCCCCAAAGTGCTGCCCACTCTGTGGTCAGCACCCTAAGTCGCTCCCCCATTGGACTGTGCACCCACAACAGAGCAGTTTGCAGGTTTTAGACACTAACGCAGGGAGAGCAGAAAGCGTTTGAGGTGCTGTAAACAAAGCAGGTTGCTACCACTAGCTCTAAGGTTAGTAAATCAGAGGTGGGCGTTGAGGCTTCACTGTTAGTGTCAGGTAGCAGGGGCTCTGTTGTACTGTGCAGGCAGCAGACAGGTGCTATGTTGGAAGGCAGCAAACTTCCCATGAAACTAAGAGTAAAGACTAACGAACAAGATTTTTAAAAAAAATCTTCAGTTGGATTTTATTAGAAGTCTTTTAAGTGCTAGAGGACTTTCAGCTTTAAAAGCAATTCTTAGCCTCTTCCTTGCACGCCACGTATCATTACACACATCCCATGAACTGCATTTTACGCAGTATTGTGCTTGTCATGGTATGCCTTGGCTACAGCCCAGGTATTACGGACAGCCACATGGATAGTTACTGGTTTCATGAAGTGCCTCCAGCACAAAAGAACTTTTGATTTTTGGTTCAATAGAATCCAAGGTAGTGCTCAGGTTCCAAAGGAAACACGGTCAGGCCGGCTTTGCCCTGGGGTTCAATAATGCCGGTTAACCTCCACAAAAAGCGAGTTTCCAGCCCTATTTGTTTAGCTATAGATCTTTCGCCTTCTTGCCTTCTTCTTCCTGGAAGCATTCCTGATGTCTTTCCTCAAATAACTCAAGTGTTTGTTTAGCTGAGAAACTCTCCTAGTAGCATGGAACAGTTTTTCTTCAGTTGGTGGCTGACATCATCTTAATGCTTTTCACATGAGACAAGAAACACGGGCTGTGCCACTAGCACACACAGTGGGTACAGGTCACTGGCCCGCACAGTGGAAGGGGTCTCAAATTTTAATCTGTGTCACATAAAGACCCTTCCTATTTGCCTGCCCTTAACAGAGGGCCCAGTTGTTCAGTTCGGCTTGACAGTTTGTTGCCAGACGTGTGGCTCAGTTACCTGCCTCCCAACATGGCTACGTTGTCCAGCTACATAGAAGCCTTTTCACGAGGTGCGGGAGAGAGAAGGAGAAGGCAATGTTGTACCTGAGCCTATTGTATGTCCAACGGAGTCAAAGGAAAGAACCACTGAATCTGTAACACAAGAGTACAAGTTCATTTTCCCCTTTTTCTTAGCACTATTTCTTGCTGTAGCGCACAAACAAATTAATTAGCCCAAATTTCCAGGTGTTTTTAGTGGTACTGGTGCAGAAACAGTGAGCCATTGCGGGGCAGGAAGGCAAGGCTGCAAGTGCCTTGCACTTGCCCCCCAACAGCTGCGCTGAGCAACACCCCATCATCATTACAACACACAGAAGTGACTTGGAAGGGTTTCTTGCAGTGCTCTACATTTCCTTTTAACTTACTGAAATAATCCCTTGTGCTACGTTCCGTCAAGAAAGAGACCAACTTCTTCAGCAACCAAACAATAAGCATCTAACAAATGCAGAGCATTGCAATGTGCTGGAGAAACATAGCCCGATTACCCAGCAAAGTAGTTACTATTTGTTGAAAATATTTTCATTTTATATCTAAGCAAACAAGGTTAGCATTGTACTTCCAAAACTGAATCATAATATGTTCTTGTCTGCTAGACTTGAAAGCTCTTTATTATCAAATTTATTATCATTTTCTTGTCCTGTTTTGGTACTCCCCTATTAATATGACCCTGCCCTGGTATTCTGTTTGCTAGGCCAAGTCCGTTGCGTTTCTTACCGTTCTCACTGTCAGGCATGGTTTCCACACCTCTCAACCACTCTAGTGGCTCCTCATCCGAATGCGTTTCACTTTATCAATATTCCTCGTCTTTGCAGTAGGCAGTGTGTGCATCAGGAAAAGTGAAGCTTTCTGCTCCATAAGCTCAATAACCTTTTATTTTGATATCCGAGGACAGCATTAGCCTGTTGAGCCATGACCCCCATGACAGTTTTTGTCCATCACCTACCACCCAAGACTTACAGTCCATTCCAATGGAGTCCACCTTTATAGCTGTTGTAATATTCTTTGCTTTCACCTGGTCCAAAGTCACCCAGATCCCATCATTAGTCATTCATTTTCCTCATTATACACCACTCTCACAATCTATACACTGTTTGCAAAGCTGATCAATAAGGATTTCATATTCTTTTCCCAGTAGAGTTGCTGTACGTTATTACAGTCTGAATTTCTCAATGTTTTTTCCAGATTTGTTTTTACTTAAGACAAACCAACAATTCCTTGTCTCGTAGTTCAGTGTTCATTTTGATCCCCTTTCCACACTAAAACCGAAACTACTGAACTCCACAGCCAGAGGAGCGGAAATGGGCCCAGAACTTAAAGCTGGAAATAACTTTCCAATAGATAAAACACAGGGAAAAACAAACTAACACAATGAAGAACTCTATGCAAAGAGAAGTTTTAAACTGACAGAGTAGGTGGTTGCAGAACTGCCTCGGCCTCTTTGGCTAAATGGACTGAATTCCTTAAAGTTTTCCCTTGCAATTCAGGCCTAAGAAGAGATCCATTTGCCAGGGCAGCTGCCTGGCTACAAGCTCTTAGCACAAGGCACCATCACCACCAGATCGAGTGTGCTGAAAAGAAGTTAAAACTCCAGCTGCACCACCTTGCATTTAGGCAAGACACCATCATGGTGACAGCTACCACATTTCAGCTGACTGTAATTTGACAACAGAACTGACCCCTTGGATGGTCTATATTGCACATAATCCTTGTGCTTATTGCCCAAATCTTACAAATTCAAAAAGGAAGAGCTAATTTTGGAAATAAACATGGCAAAACTGTTCATTTAATGGGATTTAAAATATTTTTTTAAGGTAGGTCTGTTCCATCTCACATACAACACTGTGGTAGTTATATTTCTTTTTAAAGATTATAGTCTCAAAATTTTATTCCAATAAAAATAAAAATCCATCTGGACTTAACAACTGTATTTCCTCTTTTGGGAGCTAAATTCAGACATCTTCATGTTATTCTAAATATCAAGGGGCTTAATTCATTTTAGCCATGGTAAATTCATCTGCCATCAATTAATTCTGAACAACCTCTGTGGGGTTCTACTTTCAAAAAAAAAAAACTATTGAGATTTTTATCAGCATAAAGCATTGCTTTGTAGTTTATGCCAGATTTAAGCATTCGTTTTCCCCCAATATGTCTCCCATTCAAACACTAGGCATCAAATATTAGGACCTGTCTAAGAATGGCTGAAAAGAATTGCAGTCACCAAATTAACACCATTACTGCAGCCTGCAACAATCATATAATGTTTCAGCCCCTTATTAGAGGATAACATTATCTTCCTCCCAAAACCAAGAAAAGTTACAACCACAGGAAGCATCGACTTCCCTTTTCCATGTGACCATTAGTTTCACAGCTTCAACAGCAAATTCACTATGAATAGCCTGTATTACAATAAATTCCCCTCCCTGGTCAAGTAATTTCATGGATCTGTTAAAACCCTGTGTTTATTTCTGACATTAAGCTGTAAAATGTGGGAAAGGCTGAGAAGGTAATCACGTGTTAACCTTTTCCCACCCAAACAGCTATTCACATTCAGCCTAGTGCAATGCAACTCGTTATTTCGGTGGGAATTTCAGGGATCAATATTTCCTTGATGCAAGTCTGATTTATCAGCAAAGATACCAAGTTCCACTTCCTTGAACACAGCAAGCACTTTGCTTCTAGCTTCAAACTTCTTCCAGTCACCACTCAGTTCAGAATCCTCCTGGTTTTCTAGACTTTTCTTCAAGGCCAAGTGTGTGCTCAGCGTGTTCATAGTGCCTTTCCCCATCCGCTGTTTCTGTTTGCAGATCTCTTTTGCCTATCCTTTACAGGCAAATAAAACCTAACAAGATACAACGCAAAACATATCCCTTAAGTGCCAAGAAATGCTTGTCCGAGGGACACATTTCTAATGTTTCAGCTACCTACTTTCATAGAGGAGCTTAAGTATTTTTTTCTTCTACCTCCCTAGCTGAAGAGCAGTCTCCATGCCCAGACGGTGCAACGTGACGCCGGGCAGCCTGCCAACACGCACAGCTTCAGGCGACACGCGCCGGAATGCCAGCCTTATACATCTGTTTTCACCTTAGCTGCAGTCAGGTTTTCAGCAGCTACAGCAGTAAAAACAAAAAGGAAATCAAGAGACAGCACAACCCAAAAGCAGTTAGGAGTTGATTCAAACCATCAGAGGAGGTAAAGAGACAGCACAACCCAAAAGTAGTTCTGGGCTGATTCAAACCATCAGAAGAGGTAAGATGGCACAAACACTTATTTTAAAAGCCCTCAGTGCGTGCAGTAAATGCTTCCAAAACTTCACCAGCAACAGAGAGCTAAGTAGGCCCTGTTGGGCCTAGGCTTTGGGTCACTTTCCACTTCTGCCCTACCCCCAGCTCGACCATCAGAAGTTGAACCAACAAGTCCAAGAGGAGCAACCCGAGTTCATCCTACCACAGTCACTCTGGAGCACAGAGGCCCCTGGCCTAGGAGAGCTCACTAGAGTAGAATGAATTTTTGTTTTGTTCAGGAACAGGAGCTCCACAATACGTCATGCAGAGACTCACTGATGCTCTGGAAACAAATTCAAACTCTGCTCCAACAGGTTCCAAAGTGGTCGTGCAGCTGAACTTGCTTTTGAAGGAATACACCTGGATGCTGTTTTGAAGTAATAAATCCTGCAAAGCTAAGATGGTTCCACTTACCACACAGTTAATTCGTGGCCTAGATAAGCCACCCAGAAATAGTGAGGACTGACTCTGTATCCCTATCTCAAGCCTTCTTCTCCACATCTTTCCCTTCCATTGTTTTATTAGCCAGTTACCAGGAGCTTTTCCATAGCCTAGATCTCCCCTCCACATTTCCCTATTCTCAGCAGGGGCAAAAGGACTACCCATTTTGCTGCATACTGTGCACCTCACTCCTAGGCACTCCTGGACACCAAACACTATCTACTGCTACCCCTTACAGTGAGTGAATGAATCTGTCAAGTTAAATGGGCGCGAATATCAAGTGCAACATATGGCACACAGCACCCAGAATATCCCATCATTGTATTTGTCCTGTTTTGGAATTAATTATCTAGGACTCAGAATCAAAAGGACTGATGCTGCCTCAGAGAAAGCCTAGGAACGTAAAGTTCCAACAGGGCCTGAGCTGAAGTTCTGCGCTCCAGGGAGAGCCCCGAGCACGGCAGGGCCAGCGCTCAAGGCCACGCGCGGCTACGTCCCTGCCGAGCTGTGCGGGACCGGCTCCTGACGCCCCTCTGCGCGCACGGCTTCCCCGCCGTACCCAGGAACGGGAGCGTCGCACGCAAACGCTGTCCTGGCTTCGCTTTCCCCACCCGTGACAACGCAGTGTGGAAATAAGTGGCAACAGCGACTCAGAAGAGCAAGTATAACCCACACTTCATCAAGGGCTGTACCTGGTCTGTAGGCGCTCTCACCTACGTGCTGTTCCAGAGCTGCAGTTAAGACCTTTATGGTAAGTCCCTCTCTAAAGCCTTTTTTGTCTTTTACAGATTCGCCCTGCAAAGATCCGTGGATTCTTGTGCCTCAGATCAGAAATCGAAGAAACTGAACTAATAATTACTCTTATCCTGAATAAAAAAAAGAGCAAGAAAACAGACTTTAGCAATAAACCACCTTCCCTGGGGGAACTGGGAGGGGGAAGGAAATCAGTAAAAAGAGATTGCATGCTGCCTTGGAAGTGGTCCTGAGAAACCACAAACCATTTATCCCACAAGAGTTATAAGAGTTTAATAATAAAGGCTTAGACACAGCCTCAGTATCACATACCATTACAGTAATATGCAAGGCAGACCAAGCCGAACGCAGAATACAATAAGACATTGCAGCAAAAAGGCTGCATTTTGGCACATCCTCTTACAGAGGGCCAAGCTCCGAGGTCTGCCCTGCTGTCTCCCATGCACGACCACTGTCAAGCTTCTCATTTGTATCCCTGCGATCCAGATCCTCTCATGGACTCCTACAAAATTCTAAGTTATATTTAATAACAAAGAAGGCAGCTTCTACCTCCAGAGCTTGATCGCAGGCCAGGTATCCTGCAGAGCTCAGGCACTTTAAATGAGGACAGCATTTGTA